CGAATATACACATACTAAATACGTATATATACAAAAGAGATCTAAATGCTTCAAAATACTTGTTTGACCCAAATTTTCCTAAAATTATCACCTATACACGTGTTAGGTAATTTTTAATTTTTTTCAAAATTTTGAAAAATTAACATTTTCAAAAGATTTTTTTTCGAAATCATGCTTTGTAAGCGAGCCAAAGACCCAGAACATATTAGAACATCAATGAAGAAATCTATGAATGGATTGAACTTAATTTTAATTCTGTCGCCAAAGGCACTGATTTGTTTATTAATTTGTTCTTAAAAAAAAATTAGACTATCATGTGATTTCGTTAATTTTGATTCTAAAGACTTAAAACAGCTCATTTTTAAAGGCTTTTCAAAGTACTTTTAAAAAGGTTCAAATAGTTTTTTCCTAATATTTATGGTTTTGGCGTTATTTAACGTTAACTGGTTCCAATTTAGTTTTTAGCTAACATATAATAATGTTTAAAATCCATAACTCGGTTTATATTGCAATTAGAGAAAAACAAAATAATGCTGTTAGATTTGTTTTTTTATTACCTTTCGATTTGTTCATTACAACTTCGTTAAATCCAATGGTTTCAAAGTTATTTGCAAAAAACTGTCCGAAAACAAGCACTTTTCCAATAAAAAATCAACATTTTCAATGATGAATTACTCGGAAAGTATTGGATTATCCGAAAAAGTTTATATAACATTTTTTACTTAAAATTGACTCCTCTATCGATTCCTGTGGTTATTTTGGGCGTAAAAATTTCCACCCCCAGGGCAAAAGCACACTTCGGCACTATATAGGTAAGTTTTGTTCCAGGTAATACAGAAAAAATTTGCTTGTCCCCCTCTCACATCCACCTCAAAACAGAGTGGTCTAGAAAGTTTTCCCATTTTTTCTCAAAAATTTCATTATGCAAAGGCATACAAATTTTGTATCGTGGCAAAGAGAATAAAAAAATCAATGAAAACGTGCAAAAAATTAATATAAACCCATTTAAAAAAAAATATCGATGATATCACCACTCAGCTACAGTGTGACGAAAAAAAAAGTTGTTTGTCGGTATAAAGAAAATAACATCCCATTTAAAAACTAACGGAGTTAAGCTCGGGGCTTTTATAATCAAACAGATTATATGTAAAGAGACTATGTGAATTTCCACAATTTTTATCAGTCTGCATTAAATAACTTCAAAGATGTTTGAAAAAATGTATTATTTTTATAAAATCGTTTCAACTACTACTGTTTCACATGAAGAAAAATAATTATAAGTCATCATTTAGTTGAAATTACAATTAAAATTCCCTAGAAATTTTTTTTACAAAGTAATAATTTTTTACTTTTATTGAAGAGTTAATTATTTTATTTTCCACTCATCAATATAAGTAACTACTTTTTTTTATAGTCTAGAGGTCAATTAAGATCATCCAATGGTACCATTAATGGTACTATTAATGATTAATTAAAACATTATATCTCATAAGAGTTTTTTCCTTGACATATGCTAATACAACTTAATGAGGTACCTATATCAGGGTCCGAGGGAAGTGAGGAGCGCAGGGGGGGTCCTATGTTTTTCTTATGGGAGTAAAACCCGCTGCCAATTTGAAAAAATTAAATTCTATCGAAATTATTGACTAATTAACAACATAAAAATATCATGTTTAAGTAGTTTTAAATTATATTTAATGAACGCATAAAGATTATGTAGATGTGGCAACAGCGCTAATAATTGACTAGCAGTTGTACACACTGCGAACCTACAGACCTCGGACATCGGAGATATTGCGCGTCAAATTCGGGTAAAGATGCGTACGCGTTCAAAAATGTATTGTGTGTAAACTAT